TAAATACCAACTAATTTTATATAACCAGAAGTGAAATACAAATTAGGAAGGCAAATCAATTGTAAAAGAAGAATAAGAATCACATGCAAGGAATTTTGAAGTGAAATACAACCAACACTTGAGTACTCGTAGACTCTTTGTCCACCTTAATGGGTTCTGCTTTCACCTCCTGGGTGGCAGGGCTGTCTTCTCAGTGTAGATTTTTTGTCAACCTTTTGTTCCATTGGCTCTTTCTTCTTAAGTGTAAACTCTAATTTAAGAGAAGGAGATACAAGGGAGGAGCATATGAACTGAAATACTAAATGCTTTCCTCTAACCTCAAAGGAAGTATGAATCTACACAGAAAAGTCCTGCCAAAGCTTGGAGAGGGAGCTGTGTTCAGTGACTGGTTTGTGTTGGTCTAAGAGGGGATATTTGTTGTCTTCATTAGGATTAACTGAGCCAAAAGCAAGAAAAGGAAACTTGAAAATCTTAATAGCTTGTGTTTGAAAGTGGTTGCAAAACATTACATGTACCCATATTCAAGAGTAAGTGTGACAAATCCAAGGCATGCTGTTGCCTCTCTCCCTTATGCGGACACTTCAGAGTTGACTGTGCATGTGATGTTTGAAATTAAACATATGCTTTTAATGAACATTAAACTTGTGGGTTTTTACCAGAGAACGTTTATTATATCCCAAACTAAATGGTATCAAATGCTTTCAAATCTCAGAGCTATTTCATGTTTGATGTTTTGCTTTTACAAGCATTGCATCAGTGTATTTTGTTTTAAAGGAGTATGAATAATGCTGGGCAAGGAGAGAGACTAGGCCAAATGCCCAAATAAATTAAAATTCCAGTGTAGGAGAACTAAGTAAATTGAGGTATTTGACAGCTCTAAAAAAAAGTTCTGTCAAAGTGTCTATCTAGCAATGTTATTTATTATGAATTGTTAGTCAAAACCCATTTAGTATATAATTTTTTACAGTGGTTTTATGCCTAAAAGTTGTTGCTGGAGAGAGCAACAAAGTGTTTACAAGTTGGGTCCGCTCAGAAGAATTAATTCCTATGACCATATTTATTTTAAGTGTAAATGAAAACATATCCTAAGACACATCTTTGTTTTGGTGGTTTATAAATCATACACATACTTCTCCACTTCTTGGGAAATGACTTCTCAAATATTTTGCATTTCCTTTTCAAACTCTAAAGTAGCAAAGTCATGTAGCACATCCTATCTTTAGAAAGTGTGGCACCTCTTTGCAGGCGTCCACACTTGAGGACTGAGAGTTCAGTTCATATCTGATACGATATGTATATATCCTTGCTTCCATATGTCTTCTTACATGTCTCTATGTTATAGACCCTTCCACTTATACATTGATTAGTGTGGCACCTCTTTGCAGGCGTCCACACTTGAGGACTGAGAGTTCAGTTCATATCTGATATGATATGTATATATCCTTGCTTCCATATGTCTTCTTACATGTCTCTATGTTATAGACCCTTCCACTTATACATTGATCTATAGCCACTGGGTATGGTACATTTTGGTCACTTTGCTGCCCTCCACCTGATTGGTTACCAAGATAGTGTGTGTTCTTCAAAGTGATGGTAATGAGGAAAAGAAAAACACTTGGTGGATGTTCTGGACAGTCAGGAAGATGACAGGAAAGCAGGTCAACATCATCAGAATATCAATTACGGGCCAGTTATTGAGCCTTAAGAATCAGTGGGCGTTCTGTACCTTGCATTTTCATGGATTTTTAAATGGTAATATGACCTCTAAATCCTAATTTTAGGAGAACAAAATTTGATGCATAAAATATGTGTAAGAATAATCATAGCTTGTATTGACATAAAAGTTTACAATGCTAGTGTTACCATTGAGTTTATAAATCATTTCAGCTGAATGATATGTGGCAGCGTATGTCAGCTACTGGGTATGTATTCAGATAAACGGGGAGAACACAAGGAGGGGAGACCTCATACAGCCAGTAGGGATGGCAGTAGCAGACTGGGGTCAAACGAGGCCATTAAATCAGCAGACTATTGTTTTTAAGGAGCTTCCTGTTCAGGGAAACATGTACACCACTAATACAAGGTTAACAGTGATGAATCTGCTACCTTGGAGGTACAGAGTATGGAAAATCTTAGGCGCTGTCAATCAATCTTACTTTGAGAGTAGGATTTAGGTTCATTAGAAGATACTAATGATAGAATGATACTACATTTTAGTTTATGGACTTGCCACTAGAATAAATTTTTCTAGAATAACAGAATAATTATTAAGAAAAATCAAGATTGTTCAGTGTCTCTTCCTTGTATTTTCCAAGTGTGTGAAGGCTTATTCCACATTTAAGAATATTGTACCAGAAGGCCCTTTCAAAGAATGTTAAAGCCTTGGAAAGAAGCTAGTTGAGTACATTCTCTAGCAAATGTACTGAGTGTCCTTTTGTTCTACATTATGTTTCAGAGTTTTTGCTCTTTTGATTTTATAGATTCGTTGTCTGTGTGAAATGTTCTGTTACTTGCAGTTATTGAATAAACCACTAGGTGATGCTAAAAGACTTGATCTTAATACCGTGGAAGACTAAAATGTGAAACTGCTTTTTTCCGGCCTGCTTCTCAAAATAAGCAAACTAGAAGATGGTGTCGATTTGAGGGAAGGCTTAGTGTAGAAACCAAAGGTTTCTGTCTGACCAGTATATTGAATAAACCACTAGGTGATGCTAAAAGACTTGATCTTAATACCGTGGAAGACTAAAATATGAAACTGCTTTTTTCCGGCCTGCTTCTCAAAATAAGCAAACTAGAAGATGGTGTCGATTTGAGGGAAGGGTTAGTGTAGAAACCAAAGGTTTCTGTCTGACCAGTGCATTATGTTTCCCAAATCAGTGTTGGAAAAAAGTCAGCTTATAGTCAATTTTAAATTGGATGTATTCTCTGATTCCTTAGGCTTGAATGTTTGACCTCCAGGCCATGCAGATTATTCTGGGCATTTAACTCAGTTAAGACCATGAAAGGAGCTGTGTTTTCAGGTGAAGCTTAGTGCAGCTAGTTCCTGATGGTTTTGCATTTGCTTCCTTTTTGAGAATGGAGTTAGTCTTGTCATAATTTTTTTTTAACTTAACAAGCTGTTAATTCAGAGTAGTCTTGTCCATGTCTAAGTATGTAAGCATGTTTTGGATTTGTTAGAACTGTTGACAAGGAGGTTTCACATAGATCTTGTATGCCCGGCCATGGTTGGTTCCTTTCCATTTCGCACCAGTATCTTTGCAAAACAGGAGTTAATAATGTCTTCAGGTCCCCTCCCCATCTCCCTCTCCCACCTTCACCCCTAATCCCATCCTAGAAGACTTTGCCTCCCTTATCATCAAGAAAACGGAGGTTGCTATTTCATTTTCTCTTCTACCCAAGAGCGTTGGTGTCTGCCCCATCCCTTGCTCCTTCTCTCTCATGGTCCTGTCTCACTCCTCAGCCAGGTTTCTGGCTGAGTGGTCTGCACTTGCTGTCTGCTCTCTCACATTCCCTCCTTGAGGCACTAGGACCTGGCTCTGGCCCACTCCTAAGTAAAGCTGCTCGGTCCTTCTAGATCCCCATCATGGGTTCTTCTTACCAAAGACGACTTCTGGTGTCTCTGTTCTTCCTCCTCAGCTTCCGTTTACTGTCGTCAGCCCCTGGACTCCTCTGTGTTTCTGCAGTCTTTGGATTGGGCTAAGCATCCATCCCCCTGGCACCCCTCAGCTGAACCTCCATTGTGTTGTGTTTGCAGCCGGTGATGTTAAAGTCCCTCCCTTCACTGGTCTGCGAGCTCAGCTAGAACAGGGCCACCTCTTAGGCATCTCATGCCTCCATTTCCCAGTGCCCAGGGAGGGCTCAGCAAATGTTTGTTCAGCTGCCAGTGAAAAGCAGTGTGTCATTTAACAAAGGTGCCTCTGTTAGGAAGACAGTTGATTTCGAGTCTTATGATTATGTAAAAACTTAATGTTAATTGTTATTAGATATAAAAATACTGTGGCAAAGATACATAGATGTCATGCTGGAATTTTCATTAGAGGTACTATGCCATTGCATTAGAATATTGATGCTTAGTTGAAACTGCACAGATTTGGGGTAGATTATATTAAATAATTGACATTCTGTGGCACAACACACTGGAAATGATAGATGGTTGTGATTATATGCCTCAAAGGTAAATGTGAAAATCCACTCTAAGTAGAAGAATTTAAGCCTGTAAGTATCTGAAACCTTGGAGTAAAAAGGGATTTTTTAAGTGGAGCCCATTATGTATTGAGGGGAAAGATCACAGCCTCTGGAGTCAGATAGACTCAGGTTGACAGGTCAGTTCAGCTATGTGATCTCAGTTTTCTCATCTGTATAATGGGGATGATAACAGTGTTTCTTTGGCAGGATAGTTATGATGATTAGGAATAATGTAGATAAAGCTCCTAACATAGTGTCCCTCCACGTGACAGGCACTTTCTTTGCTGTGTCATCTCATGTAGACTTGGGATTCAGTTCTATAACTGATCTTTACTCATTCAAGGCCCAGGTCTGTATTGTGTAGTAAGAGAGATGAGAGGAGCTTTGTGAGCTTAGTCTAATTGAACAGATTTCACTGGGTTCTCTTAAGCCTATAATGTTTTACTTTATGTAAAAGGAGAACTGTGAAAATTATTCCCCGTGCTTCCTCAGTTAGAGGAAAGATGACATTTACTCTCACAGGAAGGAGGGAATGAGGTAGGGGTGCATGTGTGCGTGCGTGTGCATGTGTGCGTGTGTGTGAGAGGTGGATTTTGCAAGTTACTTTCTTCATTTGACTAGTGCTTAAGTCTGGGGCCTGCTAGTATAACTGTGTTTTCGAAAAGAAAGGCTTTTGTTTGAGCAATGCCTTAGATGGATGGTGATATCAATCAAATGTTTGCTGTTTAGTTTTTCTTTCCTAGTACACAGCGTACAAGTGAAGGAAGCAATGTGGTGCTGCCACAGACCGTGGAGGTCAGGCCCTGGCTATGCTGCCTAGATCCTGTGGCCAAGTTAGATAACCGTCTTGGGCCTCAGTTTCCTTATTGGTGAAAGAGGATAGTGGTGGTACTCCTGGATTACTAAGGGTTAAGTCCAACCGATTAACATTTGTAAGTTGTAAAGAACATGCTAAGTGTTGAAGATATCCATAAATTGCAGCTGTCACTATTATAAGATTCATAATGGGGCATGGGGAGAATTTGTCTTGTTTTAAAGCATTTCAGATGGTTCCTTGTAAAAGGTGGCATTCACAGCTGTCTTAAAACTGTGAAAAAGAGTGATGTCAGAGGGTGCATCTGAGGATAAGAGGCTTGTTTATAAATGGAATAAGGGAATTACAGTGTACAAAACAGTTGCTAAATTGACTTCAAGTGGAAAAACACAGTTTAATTAGTAGGAGACAGTTGTCCCCAAAAGGAATATCTTTGGTCACTGAACAGCCATTGAGCACACCCTGTGATGTGCTGGGTATGGGATTAGTTGCTGGGGATTCCGAGATGAATGAGACTCAGTTTCTGTACATAAGCACCTTTGTATCTAGTGTCCGGGGAATCTTGCTGCTGCGCTCCCAGCGCCGCACTGTCCCGAGTGCGCCACGGGCTCGGCCCCTGATACATGCTTTTTAGTTTTTTTTCTCTTATTAAAATAGGTAGTTCTTGTGCTCCCTAATTGTATTCCCATAGGAAGATAAATAAATGTTGGTGTTTGAGGAAAAATATTAAATTGAAAAAAGTTTTTAGTCATTAAATGTACTTGATATTGAACTGAATGAAGCTTTAACAGTACACATTTTCTTTGGATACATGCTTTATTGAAGAGAATTTTAACACTTTCCCAGAGTAGAGCATATGAGTTGATTTAAATGTTATTCACTGTATGTCATTAATTTCTTAAATATGCTTCTTCACTCTTTCAGAGTTACTGGAGAATGTAACCTTAATACATAAACCAGTGTCTTTGCAACCCCGTGGTCTGATTAATAAAGGAAACTGGTGCTACATTAATGCTGTATCCTTCCTGGACACCGCCCCCAGCCCAGCTTACTGCAGTCGTCTCTTCTTTGAGATGCTCTTGACTTAGTTCAGCTTCCATGGGGCATCTAGCCTGAATTTGCTTATAAACACAGTTATTCCCGATACCCAATCCCTCCACCCCCCACCACCCACCACCCTCAAAAATAAGGATTTGTTGACCTGTGAATGACAGAGCTGGGCAAGTTTTATTAGAATGATCCCAAGTAACAGGGCAGAGTGACCTCTTACAACTAGAAATTTTGTTTTAACTGATTTGATTGCGTTGGTTGAATCAAGTTTTTGAATATAAACTACTGACTGCATAGTAAATTCTTCTATGGATATTACGAGGCAGTTATTCTAGTGATTATTTGGTCCCAAGTAACAGGGCAGAGTGACCTCTTACAACTAGAAATTTTGTTTTAACTGATTTGATTGTGTTGGTTGAATCAAGTTTTTGAATATAAACTACTGATTGCATAGTAAATTCTTCTATGGATATTACAAGGTAGTTATTCTAGTGATTATTTGGTTTTTTCCTTTTTGTGTTTACATATCTAAGTAGTTCAGTGTCCTTGGCTTATTTAGTTTTTATATGCTCTTGTTTAATGTGCCTTTAGGAAATTTGGAGTGTCTGTTTCCTTTCCTTTACAATTCCTTACTGCCAATATTTAGACATTGCAGGCACTGGTTGCTTGCCCTCCGATGTATCACCTGATGAAGTTCATTCCTCTGTATTCGAAGGTGCAAAGGCCTTGTACATCAACACCCATGATAGACAGCTTGTAAGTAAGGGGCTGAACAGTGGGCCAAGGGGGTGGCGTTTTTCCCCTGTGATGATTAGAATTTAAATAGTTTAACAAAGCTTTTCTACAAATGAGTCTATAAATTTTTTTTTAATGTACTGTTCATGATTTTATATGGAGGTTAAACAGAAATGGAATCGGAGCATTATCTCTCTGTGTTCTTTCGATTAAGTAGAAAACATATTAGTTTTTACCAACTTATACCACTTAATGCCACAAACATACATAGAAGTGTTAAAGAATTCAGTAGCTATTATATAGCGTTGGTTGCCTAAAATCTGCTATATTCATACTAATTAATTTTCTACTTAGCCATCAAAGTTCTTTAGTAAGAGTATGTCTTTTTAAAAAATGTACTACTTCACTTTTTTTTTTTTCATGTTTAGTGTTCGGCTAATGAATGAGTTTACTAATATGCCAGTACCTCCAAAACCCCGACAAGGTAAGTAAAAATGAGGTCTTCAGATGTCATTACATATTGGAAGTTAATGGTATCAGATGACTGAATTTGGTAAATCCAGTCTTACTGGAAAGAAAATGTCTTATTTAAATACAAGTTGCTACACCTGTGCAACCTGTATTTAACATTCAGCTCAAGATTCAGCTGGATAGGGAGGTGGGGGGGAGTTTTGATGATTTTGCTTTTCATCATTTCTGACCATGTTAGTTATGAAAATCTGTGTCCTGTTTCCATCGCAGCTCTTGGGGATAAAATCGTGAGGGATATTCGCCCTGGAGCTGCCTTTGAACCCACATATATTTATAGACTCCTGACAGTTATCAAGTCGAGCCTGTCTGAAAAGGTTTGAGACTACTCTGACGTGGCTTCTGTAAAGTGTTGCCTTTTGCTCCCCTTTTTCTGTTAACTGGTGCTTGTTCAGTGTTTGCCCTTTGTCTCAAGTGCTGCAGTTTGGTGGGTGCGGAGTAGATCTGGGTTTATTATGGAGTCAGTTGCTTGCATGAATTTAAAGAGTATAATGGTACTCTTTATAATCAGACCTAGCTCATATAACTTTTACTGTGTACCAAGTACTATTCTAAGTACTTTCCATATATTAACTTGGTGGTTAACCCGATGAATAAAGTGTGATTATCGTCTCCTTGCTACAGTTGAGAAAAGTGAAGTCATTGTCCGAGGTCACATAGCTAATAAACGGCAGAACCTGGCTTCCGAGGCAGCTCTCTTCACCACTGCCTTTTGCCATCTTTTGGGTAGAGTGGAGTGTGCTGGGCCTAGAATGACAGACAAGCTTCTGTCTTCATCATACTCCTAGGATTTAATAACTATTTTATGTTCTTGACTCTTTTTTTTTTTGGTGGCTGGCTGGTGTGAGGATCTGAACCCTTGACCTTGGTGTTATCAACACCACACTCTAATCAACTGAGCTAATTGGCTAGCCCTCCATGATTCTTTAAAAAAATTTTTATCATACATTTTGCTACTAAAGGAGACTAATGGACCAAGGAGGCATTATACAGGGCCCTGGCAGCTGTTGAGAGTGAATGAAAAGCACCCTTAGCACAGTTAACTGGAGCATTTCTTTCTTCCCTGAACAAGTTTGTGATGAGTCAGTACAAGCAGTTGAAATGATGCTCAGGGAAACTTATTCATAGAGAAAAATAGTCAAGAACATACCATTTAAGCCAAGCAATATTGAAGCTTCATTGCTGCGAAGAAGGGTGAATGTCTAGGGCAGTGTAGCAGGATACCACCAGGGGCAGAATAGAGTTTGAAGCTTTTTAAATGCTCGTAATGCAGCTTTTGGGGTTGGCTTAGAACTCACATTTCCTGACTAGCACAGAGTGTTAGGGATGCAGGAATGGGATAAAGTGTGCCCTCTGCCTTCAGAGAGCTCACTGTCCAGTGGGGGAGTTAGATATGTAGTCTAAGTGAACAGACAGCAAGGGAAATGCAAAAACAGACACTATGAGGGTGCTTCCAGAAGTTCACAGAAAGATTTATATTATCTTTTAATTCTATTTTTCCACGAACTTTTGGAAGTACGCTCATATAAAGATGCTTTAGAAGCCAGGTTGTGGGGGTGGGGGGGTTGGCTGGTTAGCTCAGTTGGTTAGAACACACGGTATTATAACACCAAGGTCAAGAGTTCGGGTCCTTGTACTGCCAGCTGCCAAAAAAAAAAAAAAAAAAAAAAAGCCAGAGAGGGCCATCCAGGTCAGGTGGGGGCAGAGATAAAGTGGGTGCTCAGGGAGGGCTTCCTGAGGCCAAATCCCTCAAGGATCTTGCTCAGAGGTAATGCTTGTGAATAAAAGTGTCTCTGAAGTTGCCTTAATATTGAATGTGGTGGGGTCCCCAAGATCACTTTCAGGTTTGGTGATTCGCTGGAAGGTCTCATAGTACTCAGAAGCTGTTATATTCATAGTTATAGTTTATCATAGCAAAAGAATACAAAACAAAATCAGGAAAGGGAAAAGACACATGGGGCAGAGTCTGAAGGAAACCTCCAGACCCTTCCCCCAGTGTAGTCATATAGGACACACATGTAAAGTGGGAAGCTCACTAGAGACTAAGTGTCCAGGGTTTTTATTGGGGGCTGGTCATGTAGGCACCCTCTGCCTAACTTGAGCCAAAATTCCAAACTCCCAGAAGGAAAACAGGTATTCAGCATAAACCACATTGGTTGCACAGTTTATGCACAATCCCTTATCACTTCTTGGAATGATGGGACTCCTTCTGAAATCCAAGTTTCCAGACACCATACAAGGGCCAACCTTGCAAGCAGACCTTTCCAAGGAGAGCAGCCCCAGGCCTGCTATATGCACTATTTACTACATCTTGGTCTATGCCAGTTTTTGCCCTTTTCTACACATACGCAGAGCATACTTACACCAAACAGCTGCTGTCCTTATCTATACTTCCATTTGGAGAGAACTCAGATACACAATACCCAGAGACCTCAAGCAGGAGAATTTGCACATCCTTGGAATAGGCAGTTATGCTCCAGAGAATGAAATATGAACTAATCATGATAAATTACAGAATCAAACAAAACCAGTGTGAGATTATAAAACTCACATGTGACTAATCTATGAGTGATTTTGCTGATGTGTGTATATATGTCAAACAGTCAGCTAAATCTTTAAATCAGCTGAGTTTTTCACATATAATTTGAGTCCTTTCCCCTATAGCTGCTCATCATAAAAAATAGGAGACATACAGGGCTGCTCATTTCACAACTCACAATGTGATTGAATACCCCTGGGCTTGTGTAATGAGATGGCCCTAGACGTCTAGTCTTTAGTCTTCTATTTCATTTAAACAAAAGAGCAACTTCTAAATAACTTTTTTATTATAAAGGTAGTGTATATTTACTGTAGAAAATTTCAAAAATATAGAAAAGCATAAATAAGAAAAAAAAAATTCCCAGTAGTTCTCCCACTTAGAGATAAATGTTTAATATGTTCCTCTCCTTCCTTTCCACCTCCTAGGATCTCAGCTATCCAAAGAAAAACCCATATTGGGGCTGGTTCGGTAGCTCAGTTGGTTAGAGCACAGCCTTATAACCCCAAGATCATAGGTTCAGATCCCTGTACCAGCCAGCCACCAAAAACCCCCAGAAAACCAAAGACCCATGCCATTTTTTAGAAATACTTTACATTTAATCTTGAAAACTTCAGAGGAGGCATAATTTGAATATGCAGGTAATATATATCTTGCAGGCCTTGGATGGTAATTAGTTAAAATTAATGTGATCATATTTGGCTTTTTCAGGGTCGACAAGAAGATGCTGAGGAGTACTTAGGCTTCATTTTAAATGGACTTCATGAGGAAATGTTGAACCTAAAAAAGCTTCTCTCACCAAATAATGAAAGTAGGTTATGGTCTATTTGCTACAAAATTGTGCAAGAATAATTTCTTAAGAATTATTATTTTTTTGGCAGTTGGCTGGTACAGGGAACCAAACCCTGATCTTGGTATTAACACCACCACAAACTAAGCAGCTGAGTTAACCAGCCAGGCCTGTTTTGTTTCAGTGTTTTGCTTAAAATTAATTTTAAATAAATGTTGCATGCTCAATATATTATGTTACCTTCCCCCCAGCAGTCATTTGGCCTTCAGAAGTCACTTATTTACTCATTCAGATAACTAGTTATTTGTATTGCATTTTATATGCCGTTGGGAATGGTATATTTAGATATATCAAAATTTATCCAGAAACTGTACTGTTTACCTTCAACTTTCAATTAGGAAAATGATCAAGCGTACAGAAAAGCTCAAAGAAAAGTGTGATGAACACCTGTGTAACTGCTGAAATCTACAGTTGTTAACATGTCATTATTTACACACATACGTGTATGTATACGTTTTTCCTAGATGGTTCAGAATTAGATTATGGATAATAGTTCAGTTCACCCCTGCATGCTAAGGTGTGTATTTTTTGAGGATCTTCTCCTGCATAACTGCAGTCCCTAATCTAACTAAGAAAACTAACCGTAATTGCACAATAATATCTACTTTCCAGCACATCTTCAGATTTCTCCAGTTGTCTGAAGAACATCTTTCGTAGCACTTAGTGCAAACAAGGATCCAGTAAAGTTGCACATGTTGTGGTTGGTTGCTGTGCCTCTTAACGTAGAACACACCCTGATTTAGTTTTTTTTTTTTTTTTTTTTTTTCCTTTTTTTGTGACCGGCAACGGATCGCAACCCTCAGTGTTGCGCCCATACCGGACCAGGACCGGCAACGGGATCGCAACCCTCGGTATCGCAACCCTTGGTATCGCAACCCTCGGTGTTGCCCCCGCACCTCGCTCAGCCAGTGAGCGGCCGGTCTGTATGTGGGATCCGAACCCTCGGCGGGAGCGTCGCTATGCTTCCCAAGCGGTGCACTGTAGCAGTGCGCCACCGGGCCGGCCCCCTGATTTAGTTTTTAAAACTAAAGTTGACAAATCTGTTTAAGTGGTTTACATAGAACCTTTGTTTTTTTGCTGTTCGTATTTTAAGTAGTAGCCTAAGCAAACTCTTTTCTTTTCAGAATTTAGGATTTCCAATGGGCCCAAAAGCCACTCGGTGAATGAAGAAGAGCAGGAAGAACAGGGCGAAGGGAGTGAGGATGAATGGGAGCAAGTGGGTCCCAGGAATAAAACCTCGGTCACCCGCCAGGCAGATTTCGTTCAGACTCCAATCACCGGCATTTTTGGTGGACACATCAGGTTTATGCTTTTCTAGAATACTTCACTTCTTGCCTTTTTCATGGTTTTGTTATTTTGGTGACGGGCAGGTGTAAGACTTGTTCTGAGGTTTTTCGTAATTTGCCTTTACATCTCCCCTGCCTGCTCTCTTCTTGTGCTGTGCTCCCTCATTCTCCTACTGCCGGCCCCTCTGCTCTCCTAGTACCCACTGGAGCATTTCTGCAGGGGTGCTGTCCCCAGGGGGTCTGTGTGCCACAATGAGCTCCTCCTCTCACCCCACCACGTCCAGCTGCTCGCTGTTGAGAGAGCAGCAAGCAACAGAAAAGTAAGAGGAAAGCAAGCAAATTTGTTAAGAGAAAAAATCATGTTTGGAGGAATTTTATTTATTTATTTAAATATGCTTTATTGTGTATATATAAGTATACAGCATAATGTTACATGATGCAGATTAACATAGTGAGTGAGTGAGAAAAACACTGTCTTTCCTCTGCTTTCACTCAGTAACAATCAACAACAACAAAGATTGACTTCTGACTTCTGTGACCAAATGGGTGAGGATTTCTTCCTGCTGGCAAGCAAGCCAGCAGTTCTCCAGCGGACACCAGCTGAGTGTTGTCCAATTCAATTCTTACACCATCTACCTGGAGATAGCATCAGATCCCTCAGGTTGAGGGCTCAGTCCCCAAGACTGCCATCCACTTCAGATGTCAGTAACACATCCAGGCCTCTGGAATCAGGGTTCCCACACCCCATCCTTGGGTTCACTTAGTTTGCCTTGACTGCTCACAGAATTCAGAGGAACATGTATTTACATTTACTCACTTATTGCAAAGGATGGTACAAAGGATACAGAATAAGAGACACATACAGCGAGGTGTGGGAGGGGCGTAGAACTTCCATGCCCTCCTTGGGCATGCCACTCTCCAGGAACCTCCACCATGTTCAGCTACCCAGAAGCTCTCCAAACCCAGGCCTCTTGGGTATTTTTGGAGGCTTCATTACATAGGGATGATTGACTAAATCATTGGCCACTGGTAATTAACTTTTAGTCCCTCCCCCTCCCCGAGGTTGGGGGTCTTGGTCTTTCCAGCTCCCATCCTGAAGCTACTTACCCACAGGCTTCCAGCAATCATTAGCATACAAAAAGACTCATCACTTTGGAGATTCTAAAGATTTTAGGAGTTGTATGTCATAAGAGGATGAAGACCAAATATATATTTTCACAGTATCATACATCTGTCATCTCACATAGTGACCATTTTTTGTGTGTGGCAAAAGCAGCTACAGTCTACTCATTTAGCAAAATTCCTGAGTACAATACAGTATTATTAACTATAGGTCCTCATGCTGTAGGTTAGATCTTTAGACGAGTTCATCCTACTTATCTGCTATTTTGTATCCTTTGGCCTGCATCTCCCATTTCCTCCCCCTGACCCAGGTAACCACTGTTTTATTCTCTATCTCTGTATATTTGACCTTTTTTTCCCTTTAGATTTCACATATAAGTAAGATGGTGCAATATTTGTCTTCCTGTATCTGGTTTATTTTACTTAGTGTAATGTCTTCCAGGTTCATCCATATTGTTGCAAATAGCAATATATCCTCTAAGCCTGAATAATATTTCTGTATGTGTGTGTATTTATCCATTTGTCCATCATGTGTATGTATTTATACATTTGTCTGTCAATGGACACTTAGGTTGTTGCCATATGTTGGCTATTGTGAATTGATTAGAGGAATTTTAGACATCAGAACCAGGTGAGCTACAAAGCAAGGGGAGCGTGGAGGGAGATACTTCTATGCAGAGGCGGACACTGGCTTGGGCTCAGCACTGGTTCTCTTAACCAGCTTTTTGCTCATTCTCTTTCTGAAGGGCTTTTATTTGCTTGTGCGGGAGCTTTTCAGTACCACTGTGATATGGAATTCAGTGAAACTTGTACTGTCTCCAAGGAGGTTTACCATCAAAAGTACTAAAAGGGCCTCAGGATTTCCTCTCTGAAGGCCTTGCAGCATAACCTCCAAGGGTGATGTTTTAGTGAGACTCTTAGTCTGTCATCCCCAGTGCTGTGCATCTGGAAGAAATGATACCCTTTTCCAGGCATCAAGCATCGGTTTAGTCTCTCTCTGCTCTAAAACAACTGAGATTATTGAGCAACTTTCCACAGGCTAGTGATAAAAACCTCAGCAAATCTGCACTACTCCCTCAGAAGCTAGTTTTTTACCCTTGAGAACTGGATGTAGAAGCCAGTTGAACAAACGTGACCTTGAACAAGTCATATCTGTGTTCTGTGCTGTAAGCAAGGCTCCACAGGCTCCTTTCTCTTCTGGTATTCTGGAGTCTCTTGTGTCAGCAATGGGTCAGGCGTTGTCTGAGGAATGCCCAGCCCACCCCCCACCCCCCCCCACAGTGCTGCTGTGACTCTTTTTGCCAGACCTGGTTCCTTGGGGTTTGCTGTGTGGGCCGGGGAAAGCCGAGACCTAGGTTGGCGACCAGCAGTGAGGAGAGGCTGTGCCCTTGGCCCCATCAGCTCGGCAGCCTGATGTTAGGACTGTTGAGCACTCCCTTAGGGATGGGAGAGAGGGACAAGGGAATAGCTCAGATTTAGGCAGTGGGAGCACCACTTTCGTGCAGAGGTGCAGTATCAAAATTATAAGGCCACAGATGACCAACATACCCAAAGATCCTAAATTTGTCCCAGAATAACCAGTGGAAAACACCACAATCCACTTTGGAGAAATTGCTAGCTTGGCTTGAATGGCTCTGCCATGGCTGCTAGCCTCGACCTCTGTGGCGTCTTTGTGTTGAATTTGGTTGTCGATGTTTCTTTTTGAAAAATGGTAAAGCAAAGATAAGGAATTCTTATAATTTAGGAACTTCCTTTTAGCCATCATTAAACATGATCCTTTATTCAAAGAAGACCAGTTGAATGATTTTTTTTTCTAAAATTTAGCCTCTTCAGATATTTTTCAGTTTCCTCAGGAAGACCAGCCCCTTTCCCTATCTTTTTCTGATAAAATGTAGGACTTTTGAGTCAGAGGGCCACCTGTTGCATCCTTCACCAATTTTCATTACTGGTTTTCCCTCTATTCCTTTTTGGAACCAAAAAGGAACTGCCGTCATTTAAGTCTTTACTCTCAAAAGGAGTGTGAATATAATTAAACCCTGGACAGAAAAGCTCTTAGCTAGTTCTTCAGGGCATCTGTTCTGGAAAGCCTGAATACCTATCCACACCTATTTTATTCTGTTTATAAACTAGGTCACTCTGACTACAAAAACAGAATCCCTTGTTGAACTCCTGGAATGTTTCTTTGCTGAGGCTAAGTGAGAGATGGGCTGAACACAATTTTGACTCAGAAAAACTTAGAAAAAGAAAAATGAAATGAAAAACCAGCTAAGAAAACAAGGTTGAATTGGCACCTTTCTTGGAAGGGCGGTAGCCTTTTTTCCTGGAATGTTAACTTGTTTTTTATTATATGCACCCTGCTTCCCTTCTTTTTGTGGGTCATTTTTGTAGAGGGAAAATGCCATTAAAAATATTTTATTTACCTTGGGATTTCCTCTATTTTATTAGATACAGGCTATGATACTTTGAGAAAATGAAAAAGTCTCAGCATTTTTAGGCCATGGCAAGATAGTCCCCTTTATTAACTAGTGCATTAAATAATAGTGTGGAGTAGAGTGAAAGAATTTGGAAAACGAAATATGTTTTTTTCCAGAGCACTTGATCTGGGAAAATTTATCAGCTGGTAGATTTAGTTGCTAGAAATAATTAGGAGATGGTATTCAGCAAAATTATTTTTAAATTCATTATATTTTTGGCTTTTCTGTTCTTTTTGGTCTTCTGAAAGTGATATTGAATAATCTCACAGTGTTTATTTCTCTTCTCCTGTTGGTTAATCTTAAGGGAAAGTAGCAAGGAGTGGTCTCTTAAATTTTTTGTTTTTGCTTTCAATTCTTAGGTCTGTGGTTTACCAGCAGAGTTCAATAGAATCTGCCACTTTGCAGCCATTTTTCACATTGCAGTTGGATATCCAGTCTGACAAGATACGTACAGTCCAGGATGCATTGGAAAGCTTGGTGGCAAGAGAATCTGTCCAAGGTTATACCACAAAAACCAAACAAGAGGTATATTCACAGTTGATCTGCAATCTTTATACCGAGGCAGTCTGATTTGGTGGAAAAAAATACAGAATAAGGAATGAGGGGGAATGGAATTGAGTTCTGCCTCTTAAATCAGTTGCTTAACTGTTTTGGACTGAAAGTTTCCACATTTTTAGAATGAAATGGTTGAAACAGATGATCCCAACAACCTCTTTTTAGCTCTAAGTTGTGTAACACAAGGTATGATCTCCTTTTGAATTATTTATCCTGGGGTACGTTTAATTTTCTGGCAGTCTAATCATAGTATCACAAAATCAGTACTACCTCTAATGGGCTGAATAGCTTATTTATATTCATGATATCATAGAGCACAATTTTTATTAGATTAGTTAGGATATAAAAGATTCTAAACACATCGCTTGCATTTGATTAGATCTTCTAGAACATTGAAAAATATAGTTATTGTTCTGATGCATGTTACTCTTTGGTTTGATCTGAAAAAAAATAAAATCTTTGAGTTTTTTCCATCCTCATGAGTTGAGAGTAGCAGATGATAAGCTTAGTGGTGTATGTGTCAGCTCAGTTGGGAGGGATGGATAATATTCTGCTCTATGAGAGCTTATTAGTTCCTGGCTATCCATATATGCCAATTTATGCCTGTTTTCTGTTTTGCAGTAGAGAATGTCTTCTTTATTATACATCTTAGATTGTGGCAGCAAATTCATAAGAATGCATTGGGGAGATGAATGCAAGCTAGTTATGGGCAGTACTTTTTTGGACAGTTCATAGTATTCCTGTGAAGCTATATTTACATAACAGGCAGTGTGTGGTGGGTACAAGGTGAAGTAAGACATCACAGCATAGAAAACCTGTCACCTCGTTGCATGACTGGGAAAGATCTAACCTTGTCTTGCGGCTTGTGTTCTCAGTAAAGAAGAGCAGAGTAGGACGTGGAGACTTTATTATACCTGGGGTCTCCTGCTTTGGACTGGCCAAGCCAAACTCTTGGGGGATCTACAGAAATTATGCCTAATCCTCCACCATATTTTCTGACTTGGGTGATTTTATTTAAAAAATAAAAGTGGTAGGAGCCAGAGACAGAAATTTGGCAGTTGGCTTAAGTGAATAAGCTAAGAAGAGCCTGGTGGTGGGACTTCATGGAAGAGAGACAGTGGATATTATTTATGTGGGGAAGATGGTTGGTTGGTTAAGTTTGTGTGTCTGGCTGTGGGTGACCGTCAATTTGGCTCACTTCTGTGGCAGCCGTGACTCTCCAGAGATGGTTTGCGGTCCCTGGCTGCTGCTCCTCTCGCTCTCGTCTTTGAGCCAACCGTGGCCACGCATCCTGATGGGGAGCTTTCCAGTCTTTCCCAAAGCTGCCCTGGAAAGACTCTTCATGATGTTTCTGTTTTCCTCTTTTGCTTCTGCCGCAATTAAATTTTGTCTTTGCCCTGGGAGGATTGCGGGGGGACAGTGATTGGGACAGAGGCTGTTGTCAGCCTGTTGTTAGAGAGTGGTGAGAAAAGGATGATTTATCCTAAATAGCAGGTTTGGAAGAAGGCTTCAAGAAAGAAGGTGGCATTTGGTGGAGCCTTGAAGATGAAAGAGAATGATGCAAACTGTTCTGGCTCCATGGTTGTGGTCATGTGTTATCAGACAAGGTTGAGCATACTGGGAAAAGCAGGTGTTAGATGAAGGATGATTGTGGACAGCTTGTGTGGAAATATCTGCAAAGAGCAAATAAATACATTTTCTGAATGTGATTTTTTTTAAAGTTTCTTTTTAAAATACCAAGTTTCACTTTATCATATATTTGAGGTCAAAAATTTTTTTCTATGGGAACATGTGAAGGTCCATGGGAAAATATGATAATATAAAATTCTTGCTATATACAAAATGTCTGGTTCTGTTGGATGATTAGAAATAGTGCCTCAATCTGTCTAGAAACCCAAAATACACATTTTTCAATTTCAGATTAGCCATTTAATAAATTGAAAGTTTTTGAAATCAAAATCATAGATGATTACACACTAAGAAGCATCCTAGAGATAATTTAGTCCAGCTCTCTCCATTTCACAGGTGAGGAAACCAGAATCTTATAGTCTATATTAGTCAGTTTTCTGTTGCTAATAAGAGAATACCTGAAACTGGGTAATTTATAAGAAAATAAAATTTATTTCTTAATCAACTTTGGAGGTTGGGAAGTCCAGGGTCCCGGGGGCACATCTGATGGGGGCCTACTTCTGGATAGGAACTCTGCAGAGTCCCTAGGCGACGCAGAGTATCACATGGTGAGAATACTGGAGCTGGAGCACATTTCCACATGCTCAGTTGCTCTTCTTATAAAGCCCCCAGTCTAATCCCTGATAACCCATTAATCCATGAATGGATTAATCCATTCATGAGTGCATAGCCATCATAGTGTTATCACCTCCCACTTTTCAAATACCATATTAGGAATTAAGTTTCAACACGAGTTTGTGGGGTTCACTGAATCCATAGTATAGTCCTAATCTCTGGTTTTGACTGTTGAGCTGTGTTCACACTTTTCATTAGTTCACAAATTCTTGTTGGATATAGAGACAGAATATAAAGACATTACACACACACACACACACACACACACATTTATGTATTTATATTTACACACACACACACACACACATATATATATATATATATATATAGTCCTCTGACAGTTTTAAAAATTATTTTATATATTCTGCTATCTTTTGGATTGTTACTTTAAAAAGTATTTCAACCAAAAGTATTCTCCAAGTAAATACAGGAACCATCAGAGTTTATAAATACAGAGAACAATAGATAAAGGGATTAATAATTATCCTCATTTAAGCATCACGTATTCCACACAGGTATTGATATTCAATGCTGTACCCCACAGATATGTAGAATCAATTATGTCTCAGTTTTAAAAAAAGGATTAAGTATTGTTTGTGAAGATGCATTTTAATTTTTTAAAAAGCCAGCTTTTTTTTTAAAAGCAGCATTTATTAAACCCGTGAAAGTACTTCAGGGGCATATTAAATTGATAAAACCAAACTATTATAAAACTAATGGTTAGAATAAAGAGCTCTAAGGTTATTTAATACATCTAATTGAAGAAACATACTGGCATCAGTTTTATCAATACTGTGAGAGTTATTAAAAAATAGGTTAATAAATACATAACTCAAGGTACTACTAAGTTAACTTTTTAATTTTTATACTGATTCGTCATTAATGCCACAGAGCAAAGTTCTTAACTTGGAGTTCACAGATGGAATTCGGGGACCCAAGGGATCCTCTGCAGTTGTGTTTATAGGGGCATGTGCCTTTTCTGAGAAGAGTGTCAGTGGATTCTCCAAAGCTTCTGTGATGCAGGAAAGGTTATGGAGCCCTGCCGTAGGACTCTAGGACAGTCAGCTCTCAGAGGAAGTCTTTGGAGAGATGGAAAGATGGAGGTGGCATCTGCTGCTCTAAGTAAGACGGGGACGGTGTGTCCTGGTGTGTTTTGTGTCTTAGGTTGAGATAAGTCGAAGAGTGACTCTGGAAAAACTCCCTCCTGTTCTCGTGCTACACCTGAAACGATTTGTTTACGAGAAGACTGGTGGATGTCAGAAGCTTATCAAAAATATTGAATATCCTGTGGACTTGGAAATTAGTAAAGGTAATAACAAGGCAAAGAGCATTTATGGTGACGACACTCCTGCAAATCAATAAGCTCAACACTCCAGCATTTCTATGTCATGTCAAGGTTAAGGAAGTCCTGTGTCTTGACTTTTCTAGAGGCAAAAATAAATAAACTATATACTCTTACTACATTAGAAAAATGAGTTTTTTCCATCAAAAAGAGCATCATTGTTTTATAAGCATACGGATTCATGGTACATTATCATTTTCTTTATGCGAAGTTTTAACAATTGTGTTGAGTAGTCTGGTTAAATGGACTTTTTTGGTCAGGTGAGAATGTTTTCCCATAGGCAATGGGAATTCCTTCTGACTTCTAGTTGCAGTGACAAGCATGTTAGATTTGTGGCACTTTATCAGTCACAAGTCTCTGTCAGGTAACGGGCTCAGCTGTGTTGCACATTTTGGAAGCAATTTAAAAGAGCCCCAAGTTGTCCTGCTAAAAGCACAGCTTGAAAGAAAATTTTTCTTGAAAGCCTCAGGATTTGTGGAAAATGTATTACGCCAAACTGAAGCTTGATTGGAAATATGACAAGCTAGAAGTGATTCTCAGAATATCAAGGTGTCTGGAAAATAGGAGGACATTGGATGTTGCTCCTTTCTTGTAGAGGAATAAACCAGAATTGAAAGACCTCTTCCTCTTTCCTCCCCTCTCCCCAACAGAGCACACTCACTCCCCTCCTCCTTCAGTTCAGGTGGCTTATCAGTGTAGTTGGCTTCCTCCCTGTCCCTTACGGACCTTGTGTTACCTTCATTGTCTTCCAGGCCTGCTCAGCCAGAGTTGTCGCTTTCAGCTGATAGACTCGGTTGCTGGCCAGTTTTATTGTCCATCCCTCTTGCACTTCCAGCTATTTTGTCATTCAGCAGCGGCATGGTTTTTACTCCCATTTGAGGGCCAGAAAGGGGAAGAAAGATGCCAGGGAGAATTGTGTAATGGATTGTCCTTCCCATTTTATTTTGTCCATCAGGAAACATAGAATGCAGACTTAGGCAAAACGTCCTTTGTCCTGCAGTCCTGCATCTTCACTCACCCCCAAACTAGCCATTTGTGCTGACTTGGATATTTTTCTACAGTGATTTTATTGGCATTTCTTCATATTTTTGTATCAGCTGCCACCTCAGATGCTTTATAGAAAGAGAAATGACACAGATGGGAACAAGAGAACCTTGTGTAGGTCACAGGGATGGGAAGTAGAGAGGGAACCAGTACCAGCTGTCCAGAACAGTGCATCTTCAGAGGAACTCTTGCTGGCTGGTGTTTACGTGGTACTTCTGCAAAGACGGGAGCCACACGCATTAAGAACAGGAGGAATTCACAGCCGGTGGCAGCTGGTAGACTACTACCTGTTTGAAGTCACTTTACTGCTGTATAATTGAAGTTTTGTGATCTAACTCAAAGGTAAAATATTCTAATTCTTGGGTTTTCCAGGACTATTTTTTTTAAGTGGACAGCTTTTTCTTTTTCATTTTTTAGAGCATCTGTTTTTAAGGGGTTTTCCAGCATGAACTTCACGGGTTCAGTATATTACTCATATTTCTTTTAACAGGGTGCTTGCTGGTTGTGTATGTATATTACTACATTGCACAGCTAATTTTCCTCATGGGTCAATTTTTATGCAAATACAGGGATGGGGATTTGTTTTGTTCCTAGTCTGACTGGCAGTTTACTTAAGTGGAGACTTGTTAGCCCTTTGCTTTTATTACTTTGAGCCTTTCTGTGAGTGCTTTTATAGATTGGAGATGTCAATGTTTTGTTTTTCAGAACTGCTTTCTCCAGGGGTTAAAAATAAGAATTTTAAATGCCACAGAACCTATAGGCTATTTGCAGGTAAGTAAATTTGTATAAATTACTTCATTATTAAAGCAATGATAAAAGGTTTATACAGTTTTGCTGTAATACCACTTAACATAGAGAGTAGATTTCTCTAGGTATCCCTGTGGACTTGGTAAGTCAGGAAATCATTTGAGAATGTGTGTTTCACCTGAAATTTGGTGCTTAGAATTTGACAGAATATTATCTTGGCCCTGAGCTGAGCCTGACATATAAGACCTCTGTCAAAGTGAATATTTCTGTCTCTGAGTCAGAGGAGTGAGTTTTAGGCTGCCAGGCTGGCCATTTTAGAACACAACCTCTCCCTGCTGCAGTTGTGGTACCTGTGGGATGACAGTGCCGTGGAGTTGCCATGACATCTGGTTACCCATCGAGGTTATGAGAGAGTGCTCCCCATACTGGTGTTCCCCCGTATCCTCTTCCACTGGGTGCTGTCAGGGGTGCTTGAGAAGGTGGGCCCTGATCACACGGGCTCCTCAGCTGCCAGACTCTCCAGTCAGTTACGGGAAATACCCCAAGAGGGTGAATGGCACACCCCATTCTCAGACAGTGGCTGAGGCCTCTTCTGTCTCGTGGAGTAGAGCTTTCTGCAATACCAGTTTTTCTTCCACACCTTCTCCAGCAAACACTCGAACAACACAGATTTGAACTGTGTGGGTCCACTTATAGGTAGATTTTTTTCAGTAAATATATTGGAAAACTTTTGGTTAGATGTGTTATGAATGTGGGGCTTAGCCTGCACAGTGTGGCACAGCTACACCCAGGGAAAGCCGTCCACACACTCAGTTTCTCAACCACGTGAGGGTCGGTGCTCCCAGTCTCCACGTTGTCCCAGGGTCACTGTGCTCTTTCCTTGTCTCCTTCCATCTGTCCTTCTCTCTTCTAGCTTTAGTCTTTCATGCCTCTGAGTCTTTTAACCTCTTTTAATGGTTGTCATTTGCAACCCTTTCATTTGCTTTTCTGGCCTTTTTTATTAGAATTTTCTAGTTTCTCTATCATTCTTCCTTTTGTGTTGCCTTTGGTGACCCTGTTTGTATTTTAAAAAACACTGCCATTTATTGATCCTCACACATCTGTTGAACATTCTACCCAATAGCTCTTATGTATCATTTCTTTCATTCCTTACAAGCATTCTGAGAGATAAGTGGCGGCATCCCCATTCTATAAAAGAAGAAACTGGAACTCAGAGAGGAAACGTCACACTCTGTGGTCTGAAGTGGCAGAGTAGGGCTTAATACTTGTCTACTGAGCCCACTCCTGAGATTTGAAGAAGTTTGATTAGCCACTGGTCAGGGGGTGAGGGTCCTGGGCCACACTGGGGGGTACCTAGTCTTCTCTCTCTTCGTCTCAGGCACTGTCCTTTGACTTTCTCTTCTTGCCCAGGGCAGCTGATCATGGCCCCTCCCTATTCTGGGCCCCAGACAAGGTGAAGACAGACACTTTGCCCTTGGGGGTGTCTCTGGCCCTGTCCTTCCACTGCCTTGCAGTGGAATCTCTGAGGCCTCGGTTGGTGCACAGGCTCTGCAGCCCATCAGGGTTCAGCCTCACACCCTGAAGTCTGGCCCAGCGTCCCCATGGGGGATGAACGGTTTCTTTGCCTTCTCCCTGCATCTCTGCTCCTTGGAGCACTTGCTAATAGTCAAGGTTGATAGTCAAGGGCAGGGTTTAGGAATTCCTTGTGTCCTGGTCGAGGGCCTTAGTATGAGTTCGTGCCCCACCCACCTGCCCTCCTGAATCACCTTCTAATCCATTCTCACTTCTGAAATAAGGTCACTGGGCTGGTTAGAATTTTCTGTAAAATGTGAGTAAAGAAATATTTCTTAAAAATGACTATGACAAGGGGGAAAAAAAAAGATAAAAATGACTCTGATTGTGGGATCAAGGAGAACTAGTAATGTGCATGAGATTTTCAGTAACTGTCTGATTCCAGGTTCTGCTCCTGTCAGGTGGGCTTGTGGGTGTTAATGATGTATTACTGTGTAAGTTACTTGGGCTGCTGCTTAAGAAACTGGAACGTGTAGAGTTCAGTTCTCTTTTGTATCTTTGGAATGGAGGTGTCTTATAGGAAATACAAATTAGTTAAACCCACAGGACCTTCAAATTCTACTGACTTGGTCACTTTGAAACAAAATTAATTAGGTCTTCAAGGTGAAAATCCAGGACAAAAATTTCAAAGTGAATTTGAGGTCCTAGGGGCACGGTGCTGCTGAGCATGCTTCCCTGCCGTTTAGTGATCACTCAGATCATCATGACTTTTGCAGTACAAGGTTAAGCTGTGACCGTATATTGGCCATATGCCTGGCTTTCCACCACATCATCCTCATATAGACTTGCTGTTCTCATGTTTGTCAGGTCTCCTCTGAGGTCCCAGAACAGAGGGTCTCTTTGTGTGGAGCCCAGGAGTCTGGCAGTGACTGAAGCCATCCTCTTGGCTTCATAAGTGTCGATCTCTCACCCGCTGAGGTCCCTGGCCTGGAGTGGACTCAGGACTCCTGTGTTCATTTAGCACTCTGGAAGTAACAGCTGAAACCAGCTAGAACACAGTGGTGTTGGGCCTATTTGTTGCTGAAATTTCCTACAAGCTAAGCCTCTCCCAGTGATTATCCTTTGTGCCTCTGCTGGTGGAGCACAGCTTAGAAAGCCACACTGCCCTTCCCCCCAGAATTTCACTAGCCTTTTCCCTTACCCAGGATGATGTCTGCTGCTGACCGGGAAGCCCTCTGCCCCTCTGCTTTATAGAAGGGAGGGGTGTGTCCTACAGCTGTCTTTTAATATCTTCATTACATCTTCCAGCAGTTATGTTTGTTTTAGACTTTTGACTAAGGCTTCTTGCTTGAATTACAGGGGTTTTTTTGTTTGTTTGTTTGCTTGTTTACGTAAAAATAAGTGGATTTTTTCTATTAAAACATTATTGTAGAGAAATCAGCAATTTTTTAAAAAGGAAAAAGAGCAATTACTAGTACTATCCCTGCAGGGTCCCTCCACAGCTACACACGCAGACAACCACAGTTAATGGTTCCAGTGTCCCTCAGCCGTACAGGCATGTGCATGCATTTGGTGTCACATTTCATAGATCATAGATAGTCCACAGAAAACTTAGGATCCTTGTTTTTTCGTGTAGTATCTCATAAGCATATTTCCACATCACTAAACATTCTTAATCTATTTTATGAAAAAATCCATGTTATTGTAATATAATTTACTAATCAGTCTTCTAGTGGGCATTTAGGTTTTTCCATTTTTTCACTGTTAGAAATATTATAATCTTTGTCCAAGATTCAGGTAATCTCTTTAGGATAGTCTAGAAGGGAATTGCTTGGTGCACAGGGTGTGAGTCTGTTCTCAGTTGTGCATTTCTGATGATTGCCATGCATCACTGCCAGCTGTGTAGGAGAGTGCTTTTGTGCAGTGTTGTGTGTTTTAAATATGTCACTAAGATGTGTATATATATTTTACTTACCTTACCCTTACATTAAAGTTATATGTAACTTTCTATTATCATTTACTCATGTTTTTGAGTTTAAATAGCATTGCTTTGTGTAATTACATTTCTCTATCTCACCTACTTCGGTAGCCTTACATTAAAGTTATATGTAACTTTCTATTATCATTTACTCATGTTTTTGAGTTTAAATAACATTGCTTTGTGTAATTACATTTCTCTATCTCACCTACTTCGGTACAGTATTTTACACTAAGACACATCTTTGGAGGGAGTCAGGTGTGTGCCTTTCACTGTTTTTGTGCAGTGCTTTTCCCACTGGGTCACCTGCTGTGCACTCTCTTCCAGTGGTCTACCATCACGGCAACAGTGCGACGCAGCACAAGGGAGTCATTTTCGGATAACACAGGATTTAAAATTCAGAACTGTTAAATGGCATAGAAAGAGTTCCAAAAGGAAGTGGTTACTTGGTGGAGTTTGTACTATACAACAGATAGCCTCCACAATGGAACACCGGGTAAAGAGCACCTTGGAATTCACAAGCTTTCCTTCCTTTTGTATTTTTACACGTTGGAAATCCATGCAGCTGCTGTTCGACAGAGCATTTAACATGGGACCTTGCATCACCTCAGTATTCCAGTGTGTATGTCTGTTTTGATGCAGTCACACACAGGACTAATATTAAAAAAACTTTTAAAATGCAATGAAAATGTAAACGTCAACCTAAAAGGAAAATGTGTACTCTAACTAGAGGACTCAGCCATATATTATATTTAATACATCTAAAGTTAGTGTAAATTGGTTTGAAAAGAGAAGAAAAAAGAAAAAAACACAAACACACAAACTAGCAGTGCTTCATCTCATTTAGCAAGTATTTGTTAACCACCTACTAAGTGCTAGACAGATTTACTCATGTTTTTGAGTTTAAATAACATTGCTTTGTGTAATTACATTTCTCTATCTCACCTACTTCGGTACAGTATTTTACACTAAGACACATCTTTGGAGGGAGTCAGGTGTGTGCCTTTCACTGTTTTTGTGCAGTGCTTTTCCCACTGGGTCACCTGCTGTGCACTCTCTTCCAGTGGTCTACCATCACGGCAACAGTGCGACGGGTGGTCATTACACTACAGATGTCTTCCAGATTGGTCTGAATGGCTGGCTGCGCATCGATGACCAGACAGTCAAGGTGATTAACCAGTACCAGGTGGTGAAGCCAACTGCTGAACGCACAGCCTACCTCCTGTATTACCGCCGAGTGGACCTGCTGTAAACCCCCTGTGCGCCATGTGTGTGTGTGCCTGATGCCCGCTTCGTAGAACATCGACTCTCACTAACTTCCTGCCTCTCTTTAGTGGCTCTTTAGAGAGAAACTCTTTCTTCCTTTTGCAGAAATGGGCTAGAATGAAAAGGAGATGCCTTGGGGTTTGTGCGCAACATAACTTATGTTGACTTCTAACTTCCAAATCAAAATCATTTGGTTGAAACAGACTGTTGCTTGATTTAAAAAAACACACATAAACCCATATTTCTAAAATAATGCTGATTCCTGAGATAAAAAAGGGGAACTTCCATTTGATTCCCAGGCTAATTGCTTAGTAGAATCAATCCTGCACCAGCAACACTTGTAAATTTGTGAAAATGAATTTTATCTTTCCTTAAAAAGTAAATTTTTTAATCCATCACACTTTTCTCCCTCACCCTTTAGTTTTTGATAAGTGATAAAAATGAGCCAGATATCAGAGAAGAAATAGTTCTTTCTTCAAAAGAAAAAATAAACACAAAAAATAAGTTGCTGGTTCCTAACAGGAAAAGTACATTTTAATAATTGTGCAGTGAGAAACTGCTCACGTACACATTGCAGATAAAAGTTTGGAGTCAAGGTGTTAGCCTGCACAGATGGGTGATTGTAGCTTTATTGCCATTAAAAGATTGCGCTCATGTGTCTGTGTACACACAATGAAAAATGGGCCAGATAGTGAAGACTGATCCTCAAGTCTGCTCTGTTTAATTCCGCTGTCTGCTCTTCTGTAATGCTGTGTCCCTTATTGTACACAGTTTAGTGGTATTTAGGAGTATAAAGTTGTCGCCCGTCAATAAAAATCACCAAGTTGGTTTAAAGCTGTGTGTGTCTCTTTGAATGCAAATGCCTTTTCCAGTAACTGGAATTCACGGGGTCACAACTTCGCCTCCATAATTAAAATAAGCCTTTGATTGGCTTGATGGGTTTGTGGAAGCTGAACCCAGACTCAGGTTGTGCTTGTCCGGTATTTCCAAAGGTAGTAACTGTAGTGATCTGGGTCAATGAAGTTTTGAATGTTCAATTAGCAGAAAAAGGGAGGTTTTCTACCCTTTTTTCCTCCCTCCATTGTTTTTGTATCCCATCATTTTTCAGAATCACCAAAATTGTTTGTTTAGATCAAGGCTGAGCATCCTTTTAATCAAGGGGCAGCTTAACGGTGCCTCTGGATGCCACCCTTAGGGAGTGGAAAGGAAGCCCTCTCTACAGAAGAGATGGAGAGAAGAGAAGAGACCACCAGCAGTGTGCTCTTATGCCTCTTGTGTATAATGTATAGTAGTGTACTGGGATCTACAGACAAGCTGTTTTACCATGTGGTGTTCCTAATCATAGCCTTTGCCACTGTGGGGTTCAGAGCTTACTTTGTAAAATCATTGTACCAACGTTGTCTGCTTAGCCTGCTTACTCTGTTGTAACCTATTCTGATTTGTTTGGCTGAATTATAAGTCATATTATAATTAGCTTCTCATTAAAATAATATACAATTCTTGTGGAACGTGTGGAGTTTGAAAATCAAATTAACTTTGGGGGAAGCAACCCACACCAGCAATAACCCAGCCAAAGATGAAACAGAACCCTATTCTAAGTACTTCAGTGAGTTCTTTTTAAATTTTTATTGAATCATAATTGATTATACATATTTCTGGGGTTCAACATTGACATGTTAATCAAATTAATATTATTAGCGTATGTATTGTTATAGATCATACTTATTCTTTATGCCCCTTGTCCAATCTCTCCCCATCCCCCACTTTTTCCCCCCTCCCCCCTCTAATTACCCTAGATTTCTTCTCTCCTGAAAGAGTAATGATTACTCTGTTGATTTGTTGCCTTAATGATCTGTCCATTTTCAGTGAGTTCTTTCTTGTGATAGTTGAGCCAGATCATGTCCCTTGTGCTCAGTGGCTTATCCATCCTGAGTATGCCCCCAGCCTCCATAACTGATATTGGTCATTCACCCTCAGTAGTATAAGATGGCTTTGTTACTGAAGTGTCCCTTGGAAGTCAAGTTGAATGCCCTCTCGGGAACAAGGCCCTCTGATCTGGGAATGCTTTTTTATAGGAAGCTGGGATGCAGGGCCGGACAAAGAATGCAGTTATTAGGTACACAACCTGTTTCCAAATCTTAAAACATGTCCTGTGTATTTAGATGGGAAATTTTTCCCTCGAATGTCATTCAGTGGTTGCTACATAATCTTTCAGTTGCTAGGGTATATATTTTGTCAAGTCCAAATTATGCTGGAAATGATTGAGATATCAAGAAACTCCCTTAGAAAGATCTCAAGTCTTTTTCAAGAGTGGTTAGAGATTAATTAAATCCAATGAGACATTCCGATGTCTCGGTCACCTTGTGACATGTAGTGATACTCATCTGTTCTTAAGGTTGCTCTCCCTGTGTGGTGTACCTGTACTTTTTAATTCAGCCCCCTGGTCGCCAGAAAAGGATTCTTTTTTTTACCTTCTATGTCACTGTGTGGTTTGTTAGATAGGTGAAAGCTCACACTAGCAAGACAGCACATATAACCCTTGTCTTGGTTTGTGCTGCTGTAACAAAAATGCCGTAGTCTGTGTTAGCTCAGTTAGAGCATGGTGTAGTAACACCAAGGTCACGGGTTCAGATTCCCATACTGGTCAGCCGCCAAAAAAAAAAAAATACCATAGTCTGGGTGGCTTAAACAATAAATGCTCATTTCTCACAGTTAAGGAGGCTGGAAAGCAAGGATCAAGGCGCCTGCAGTTCTGGTGAGGGCCTTTTTCCTGGCTTGTAGACAGCCACCTTCTCACCGTGTCCTCACAAGGCATAGTTGGCTATAGTCGCTTTCCCTTGTAAAGGCACTAATCCCTTCATGGGGCTCCACCCTTATGATCTCATCTAATTCTAATTACCTCCCAAAGGCCCCACCTCCTGATACCATCCCACTGGGGACTAGGGTTTCAACATATGAGAATAGGGGGCAAAAATACATCTATAACAACTCTGAACCACCTGTCTCTTGGTGTATTTAGGATAGAGATGTAGCTTCCCAGTTTTATTTTGCTTAAGCGGGGTCAGCACACAACCAGCTGCAAACAGGAAAGCAAAACTTAGAGAGGGACAGGCCATAATACAGCAAGGAGATGCTAGCCTGGAATTAAGAATGATCAGCATTTGGTCCCTGAAGTGAATAATTGGCCCATGGCCCGCTGTTTCCACATGGCATGCCCGAACAAGAAACGTTAGTTTCATCAGTGAGCATAGGTTTTTTTAGTGGGGTTTAAGTTGTCAATTTGCCTCTCAGTTGGACTTGCATTTTGTTTCTCAGACTTGGTCCCATCCCCCGTTGTACACTGTGGGCACAATTAGATGATTTTAGCAAATCCAAACATTTTCTAGAGTACAAGTAAATTGTGGACTTGTCCACGTTATCCATTCTTGAGATTTTGCACACAATGTTTGTACTTCCCGAACAAGAAACGTTAGTTTCATCAGTGAGCATAGGTTTTTTTAGTGGGGTTTAAGTTGTTAATTTGCCTCTCAGTTGGACTTGCATTTTGTTTCTCAGACTTGGTCCCATCCCCCGTTGTACACCGTGGGCACAATTAGATGATTTTAGCAAATCCAAACATTTTCTAGAGTACAAGTAAATTGTGGACTTGTCCATGTTATCCATTCTTGAGATTTTGCACACAATGTTTGTACTTTGTGCTAGAACACTTAGTGTTTTTGTAAGTTTCATAGTGCTGTTTCCCTGGCTTTAGGTCATTTATACTTAGAACTTTACCCGTTAACCTTGATATTAGCATTTGATGTTTCTTTGTAGGTGGCTTTTAAACCAAAGTGAATGCTAAGATATTGTTAGAAATATAGATTATTTTTTTCATGTGTAAATATTACCAACAAGACTTGGAAGTTGTCCTGTAGGGAAGGACATAATGAAGTTTACCTGGTTAGAATGTTATTTGCCCACTAGCCAAGAAAATACATGAGTCACTGTGTGTTCGATGCAGGATGAAAATTGGGAGTCATTTATTGTCCCGTTGGTATAACCATAGTTCAGCCACCCAAGTAGCTCCTAGTGGCATTCTGCTTTCACTTCTCAGTGTCATTAGTCATATCATCATGGTCTAACATGTGGGCAACATGAGCAGGAACTCTGCAATCAGCAACGGGATCATTTTGTAGTGTTTTTTCCTTAGTGACATTTCTGGTTATTGCTGTCATTGGCTGCTTGGACTTGACGAAGCCACCTAGGTAGAAACCTAAGAATGCAGTCTGTGTGTTGCTTTTGAATTAGTGTACTTGAATTGACCAAATAAACCAGTGTGTTTAGTATTGTATAGCTACCAATTAATTTCCATGAGTCAATGGTAAATTGCTAAGTTTTGCCAGTCTGGATCTATCAATCTAATGGTTTAACTTCTCTGTGGAAGTGTTCAGTCCATCCAAAGAAAAAGAAGACTCAAGGTTTTTCTATCACTTCTCTGGCTCAAGAAAGAAAAATACCTTGTTGACTATCCCCGGTGAAAATGGTATCTTCTATACCAATTTCCTGGGGGTCAGTGGACTTAAAAAACATTAGATAAAAGATTAACATTTTAAAAATAATCCATGTCTAGCAAGGCCACATGTTAGTAGCCAACTCTACACATAACGTCATTTTTTCTTTAAAATCAATCATAGCAAATCGCCAAGCAGACAGGCTTCTTTCTTCTTCAAATGTTTTCTCTTGCTTCCTAGGAATTTTTTTTTTTTTAATGTTGTTCATCTTTTGGACTGGCCATTCCCACCTTACTTATGCCTTTTGGAGAGAAATTAACTTGCTTGAAAAATGGAACTTACTTCATAGCGTCTGTTGGCTTTATCTTGTGATGTTCTTTTAAAGAATAAGCAGATAAATGAGAACAGAAGCTTTGTTCCCTTTCGTGGTCTTCCCCTCTTTTTCCATATCCCCTGCCCCAACAAGAAACGTTAGTTTCATCAGTGAGCATAGGTTTTTATAGTGGGGTTTAAGCTGTCAATTTGCCTCTCAGTTGGACTTGCGTTTTGTTTCTCAGACTCGGTCCCATCCCCCGTTGTACACTGTGGGCACAGTTAGGGAGCATTTGCTGAGCACCGATCTGCTGAACACAGTAGTATTTTGTTCAGTGGCCTTTCCTTGGAAACAACTGGCAAGTAAGGTTTTAAGTCACTGTGTTTGCATTAAAGGAAATTTAGCCAGTCCTGGCTGCTATGGTATCTATAAGTGTTTTGTTTTGATTTGGATTTCACACTGTGAGATTAGTTTAAGATGTTTTCATTTGAAAATGTTTATCAACTTCATTTCTTCATAGTCTCCCATTTAAGTTCTTGATCTGCCCTATTGATCGTTTTTTGGGAAAGTATTGTTTGGTTTTCTAGCAAGTGAAACATTAGGGCAGCTACGTTTATCAAACCAATGCACTGTTGTGTTTGCACATTTGCAGAGTTCCTAGATACAGACTCTCCAAGGGATGCCTCCGTAACTTGATGAATTTGGGAACTGGACAAAATCTAACCCTGTTTTTTAGGTTTTTCGGTGGCTGGCCAGTGTTGGGGTTTTTTGTCATCTTTTTTTCAATAATTAGAAGGGTTTTTTTTCAAGCATCTTACCCACCTGGAACGTATTTTTTTCAGGCCATATGTGGTGGTTTTCAAAGTGTTTCTGGGGTTGGGTCTGGTAAAACTAAACGTGGGTTTTCCACCTGTCCTTCAAAGGAAACAACTCTCTTTTCACATTTTCTGAGGTTTTTTTTTTTTTGGTATTCTCTATTTGGTTTAAGAAAAATATATATCTCTGCTTTAAAAAAAAGTCTGAAAGTCTGTGTAAGGTAGGGATTTATTTCCTGATCTGAGAGTGGACTCTATGGCCTCCTTCATTCCCTGTATCATTAGAGGGGACCAGCTCTGGACTTTTCTTCAGCACCATTGATCTGCCTCTCTTTGCATAGGTAACCATGTATTTATTGCTGTTTAAAGTAGCTTCTGATACCTTTGGGGCTTGTAAGAGACCTTGACATTCTACTCTTATTTCATCACATTCAGTTTACTCCTGTGATCCACAGAGAAAAGTCAGCGCCTCTCAACTTTCTAGTGAAATGCACAGCCTTAGTGTCCAGGCTCATGCGTGGGGCCTCCTAGGGGCTCCATGCTGGGATGTGAAATATGTCATATTTTTGAAATGATGTAAGCTTTACAATGAGTGAAATTTACTGTCTAGGAAGATATTCTCATTTCCCATGGCTTTGAATACTCCCTGCCACTCGGCGGGTGGGGGGGATACCTCCCAGTGCAGGAAGTTCAGACTCAAGCGGCACCCTCTGCTGAGACCAAGACAGTCTACAGAGACAGCCCCACACCCGGCATCTGAGACTGCAGCGTTGACTTACCTGGGCACATGTGGCACTGTTCCCACAAGAATGATTAGCATTTGGTCCCTGAAGTGAATAATTGGCCCGTGGGTAGAGGATCAGACAATTCTAGCAAATCCAAACATT